ATATAAAGGATGTGATATCAGTTAAACATGATTCTCAAAAGAAGCAGGTGAATTTATCTGCTGCTACAACAGAATACCCAAGGCCAGGTAATTTATAAAGAAATGTATTTAGAACACAGCTCTGGAGGTCAAAAGAAAGTGTTGATATCTGTTTGGCTTCTGGTGAGGGTCTTGTGCTGTATCACATGATGACAGAGATGCAGAGGGACATAAGCACATAAGAGCACATGCAGCAGAGATTCAGAGAGGTTGATCTGTGTTATAACAACCCATTCCTGAGGTAAGTAACCCAGTCTAACATTTAACTCACTTCTATGAGACCTAACCTGGAGAATACACCCAGTTCCTGAAGAAAGACTTGAATCCCATCTTGTGTTGTCCCAAGATCCAATCATCTCCCACTAGGCTCCACCTTTTAAAGGTACTACCACCTCTCAATTCTGGCTACACTGGGGATGGTGTTGTTACCACATGAACCTTTGGAAGACAGTATCTGCGATGGTTGGTCTTGACAGTCACCTTGATGAGGTCTGGAATGACCTAGGAGACACACTTCTGGTCATATCTGTGAAAGCATTTCCAGAGAGGTTTAACTGAACAATTACCCACCCTGAAAGTGAGTGGCACCATCCCTTGGGCTGTGTATGCACGTGTCCAAGTGAATAGGAAGGATAAAAGAACAAAGTGAGCTGAGCACCAGAATTCATCTGTTTCTGCTTCCGGATTGTGAGCGTGGTGCAGTGAGCTGCCTCAAGCTTCTGCACCATGTATTCCTTTCCCATGATGGTAGACTGCATCCTTAAACTTTGGCCAAAATAAACCTCCCTAAGTTATTTTTATAAGGTATTTTGTTACAGCAATAAGAAAAGCGATTACAATATTCAAACCACAGCAACCTGCCTGGTGCCACAAGTTAGCTTCATGGGAGATGATAAAATACTTAAGAACACAACAGCCAGAATGCAGACATCATCACCAATGTTGACTGGGCTCTGGCAAAAAAAAAGATCAAGTATGTTCAAGGTGATACACTTTTGAAGTCAAACCCAGCTGGTGCTAGATCTGTCCTGACAGAGGCATTCCAACAAGCAGCACACTGGAAGGCTGCCTGGCATGGGTCATATGCCCTTTGTAGAACTGCCATCACAAAAGACTTCAAAGCTCATCACTTCTTCATGCAAACAGAAACAAACAAGTCCAACACGTGCTTCTATCCCATCCCTATCCAGTCAGGCACCCAAGAGATAGAACTAGTCATGTTTTCTAAGTGCCCAGGGAGAGCAGGAGATACTGGTGTTTACTACCTGCTCTTCCTAAGTAAAAACCAAAGAACAAATTTTGAGAACCAGTGCATAAGGCCAAACTTGTTTCTTGAAACATGACCGAGTCAGAGAATGCTGCATGGTGTGTCCTGTCCATGATTTCTCTGAAGTTGTCCATCAGTCCTCTTCGTGGGAAGATGGCATGCCACCTGGGCAGAGTGATGCTGCTGCCCCACTGCTGAGCACTGCCCCACTGCTGAGCAGACAACACTGGGCAGGTGGAGCCTGTCCCTGTGAGTGCTGTTTCTGCCTTAAGCTCTGTGCCGCTATTCAAGGTTGTCAATCACCACTTCAGTTTTGGAAGGCATGTTGGTGCTTGTAAAACTTACCGAGCTCACAAGCTGGAAGAGAATACTTGTGAGGACTAACTGCAACTTCACAAATCTCGGAATCTTGATGTGGTCAACTACGGAGCTCAGGGTGGTGTGGCGGATAAAGCTAAGGCCTCCTTAGAAATGTTCATTAATGAAGGGGGTTGGAGGGTGACTTCACACTGTAGCTGGAAAACTTCTACTTCTAGGCTCACATTTAAAAAATTTTTATTTATTATTTTTATTTTATATGTATGAGTGTATTGCCTGCATGTATGTAAGTGCACCCATGTTATGCAATGTCTGCAGAGGTTAGAAGAGGGTGTCAGATCCCTTGGAACTGGAGTTACAGACGGTTATTAGCTGCCATGTGGGTGCTGGGATTTGAACCTGGGTCTTCAGCAAGAGCAGTCAGTGCTCTTAACTGCTGAGCCATCTCTCCAGCCCCTGGACTCATATTTTAAGGGCTCAGTTGACAGCTGGGCCCCCAGAGTAATGAGACTCTGGGGGTTTTGGGTCTGAGGGGGCTGGAAGGACTTTGAGTTTAATCCAGAGAAGAGAAGGCTGGGAACCTCTCTACCAGCTGTATTAAAGCCTATCTCTTAAACATGGATCAGACTTACCCTATTTCCTACAAAGGAAATGCCTGCAAGCCATAGGCAGAAGTGATCAGACCAAAGTCTCATTAACAAAGAGCTTCCTAACTGTCAAAAACCTCCAAAATTAATAACAGTAACAACAGCAATAATAATAATGATAATAATAATAATAATAATAATAATAATAATAATAATGGGAAGGGACTCCCCTTCATGAAGAACACTAAGCAGAGGCTGGGTGACCAGTTGTAGGGAACTCTGCAGGTTGGTCCTACCCCCATAAGGAGTGAACTGCAGAACACCTCTGCAGTCATCGCAATATATGTTGCAATGAAGGAATTTTAATTCTTATAAAAATCATAATGCAGTTCACAGGGAGTTTTGGATAGAGGGGAGAAAATATTTTTGGAAAATCAACTATTTGAAATAAGGATGTAAATGAAAGAATTTATTTTGAAGCTCAGAGTAGGATTGATACTTTGATTTAGTTCTTAAACATTTTTATTACATAATCTCCCCACACACATTCGTGTGTGTATACTTGCGTATGTATGACACAGCATGCATGTGGAGGTCAGAGGACAATTTATGGGCACCAGTTCTCGTCTTCCACCATGTAGGTCCCAGGGACAGAACTCAGGTCATCAGCTTGGCAGCAGATGTCTTTACCTGCTGAGTTATCGAACCACACTACTTTTAAATCGAGTGCTACATTTGATTGTATCTGTGTGTCCACAAGTCTCTTCTAAAAGCCTATAGCTAAAAACCAAGTTCTATGTGAAACAGAAACAGCCCATTTTATTGAAACTAAGCCCCCATGCTTTCTGATATCGGATAAGAATACTGACTGGTACTGGGACTCAGAGTGAATATTTACACTCCTGACCTGTGTGCATAGCCAGGAAGAGCAGAAAGGCCCAGCAGAATGCTCCTGCTGGCTCTCCTCTGAATGTGTGGCAACAGAAGCTGCAGCCAGGGAGGCTTTTAATGCAGGACGGCTGGGGCTCAGGCTTCTGCTCCAAGTCTGGCAAGACCCTGTGCTTATGTTTTTTTTTTTTTTTTTTAAATTCATTCATTCATGTCTATGTGTGTGTATGTTTGTGTGTGTGTGCATGTATCTGTGTGTGTGCGTATGTATGTGGGGGGGCACATGCAGGCCACTGAGTGTGAGGTCAGAGAACAACTGGTAGGATCTGGTTCTCCCCCTCCACCATATGGTTTCTGGGGCTCCATCTCAGGTGGTGAGGCTTGGGGGCAAGCACTTTTATTCACTGAGCCATCTCAAAGGCTCTCATGGCATTTTCCTAGGAAGAGTCTTCATGAGATTCTCCCAGGTGCTTATAAATGAGAGTGAAGGATGAGGTCAGTGAAACACTGCAGGAGCTGCTCAGAAGCAAACCTGTTGCTCACTTCCTGACACCAGGCAAGCTGTGCCCCTTTCTCCCCTCTCTTCTCGCTGTTGTTTGGTGGGGAGTTAGGTAAAGCGATTTTTGAATTTCCAACTCCAAAACACCAAGACAAAGAAAGGAGGCAGAAAACACTCTGCTCACGTGATCCCTGAGGCCCCAAATCCTTGGAGAAGCATGCAGCTGGACCTCGAGGCACGGGACCAGCTCCCAATGGCCGTGACAGATGCATCCATCTTATATCATGGTGGCATTCAGCTGTAAGGATATGACTGACCACTCTAACTTTGTTGACTTTCTTTACTAAAAACAAAAAGTATTGAATAACTGCCTTATCGTACTGGTAACCTTATGTTTAAACTCACAGGAGCAGCCACAGAATCTTCAGAACAACATTCAGTAGCAGATCACACATTACTCTGAAATATGAGTGTTCTCCCCCCCACCAAAACAAACCAGTCATGAAATGATTCCACCTGTGTGGACTAGCTCAGTTAATAAATAAAAACTATTTTGGCGCTGTCTACTTTGGATGTGGGAAGTGGGTAGGACAGAGAAATGGAACCCAGACTTAGGTCAAGAAGAGAGTTTTATCCTAATCTAAACCTTTTAACACTAAGACTGAGACTCACCTATCCGGAAGGGCTCCAGTTCTTTTAAACAGGAAGAGTCAGTGAGCCTTGGAAGGTTGCTCCCACATTGTGAAGCTTCAAACATCAAGCACTCAAAGACAGAATTGAGATGATGGTGGCTCATCCGGTGCACAAAGTAACAAGCACACAAGTGCCTGCCATTCATGGTTTCAAGTGATATCAATCAAGACAGGTGGGCAGGATCACCTGGTTACATCTTGTGAGAACAGTTCCACCAGCACTCTGAACAGTTTTGTATGTATATGTTTTTAAGTCAAAACTAATGGCCATTGTTTTGAAAACAGATTTAGGAATTTGCAGATTTTCAGCAAGCGAACTAACAGAGAACTATGCTTGCTTTTGGATTTGAAAACACTTGCAAATACTGTCTGAAATCACAATACTTCCATATCTATCCATGTTAAATCTGTAACCACAGACTGTGATGCAGTCAAATGTCACTTTCAAACACACAAAAATGGGACATGCTATACATTTCTCTTTTAAAATGTATTATTTTTCACCAACCAAAACACACACAATATATTTTATTATAAAGCATTAGGCGATGTTACTTTTGCGATATGCAATCTGAAAGGTTGCACCTGCCCTTAGGACCATGAGGTAACCAGAGGCGCCACATCAGAGACTAACCAGACAAACTCATACACTGTCACCATGACTTACACATCACTCAGTCCAGATCAGACGGGCCAGTTCAGTGTTCTGGATGCAGGCCCCAGTGTCAGCAAGAGCCTTGTAGAGGGTTTTCTCCTTCTAGCGCTGGGGCTCTGATATAAGAGTACAGCCCCGTCTGACTGCAGACCCAAGACTTCTAGGCACTATGAGCCAGTGTTCTGAGACTGCTCTCCCAGCCTGGACTCTGTCTACCCTCCAGACCTGTGCTTGAAATTGAGACCCACACATAGAGGGGGCAGCCATTCCCTTTCAACTAAAAACTAAGCCAACAACAACAAAAAACTGACCTAGTGCAAATTCCAGATAATCACCAATTACCTGGTTTATAAAAATACATGTCCAAAATAGTGACTTCCAGGGTGTGTACAATATAAATTACAAAAATAAAATAGAAAAGATGAAAAAGTTGAGCACATTTTTCAGTTCTTTATCCAACATCAACATTTGTCTACAGAAATCTGTTCGAAACCATTTGCATTGCACCAGGACCCTGGCAGATCTAGGCTCAGGAGGGAGGACCCTGAACCTGCGGTGAGGTATTTCTTCGGCGCTATGGCCAGTTCTAGGTACACTTGCCTACCTGGCAAAAGAGGGTCTTACCAGGAGACCCTCCACACCAGCATGGGCTCCATCTGTGGCAACAAGCTCACTGGAGGCATAGAGGAAGGGGCGTGCAGAAAGCCACTCTGTAGGGCACTGCTCCACTCACAGGTAGGTGTCTGTCCGTGGGACCTGGACCAGCCTCACCATTGCATGCTCCCTTTACAGCACAGGGCAGACGGTACAGCTTGAAAAGCTCCCCTTTCTCTGATTTTCCTCTTAAAGATGGTTTTAGGGAAGTGTTTTAAAAGAATGTGCATCAGAGAAGGCCATTGGAAGATGTTTATACATGTATGGTGGTAATTTTCATAACTGTAACATCAGGCCTCCAGGGCCCAAATCATCTTGAGCCATGAACAGGCATTCTGCCTTGTCCATATTAGCATCTCTACTTTGTACTTGAAAGTGTCCACATACATAATATAAAACTATTCCTTATTTCAAGATGAATTTTGTTCATCAAAGGTTCTGATTTCCACTGACAAGACCGACCACTAGGATACAACTGGTGCAGACAGAATCATACATTTCAGATACTCCTTGTAAATGTTCTTATCAAAATTCCTTCCAGAACACGTTTTACAGAATGTTGACCAAATAGCTTCCAAAATAATTGAACACAAGATATGAACTGGTAACAAAGTAAGCTCAAGGGAAACACACTCTGAGCACAAGCAACCAAAACATGAGCATCCTAACTCCATTTCTGCAGTGACATGGAAGTACTCAGTATCTTAATACATCGTGAACACTTTTACATATCAGGAAGTCTGAAAGTATCAATTTCAGGTGAGCACTTTTAAATGAGAAAATATTTCAGAGTAGATCACTACTCTCCAGGGTATTTCCTCTGTATCTCTGAAGAGTTTTTCCAAAACATTCATGACTTTCCCTTAGGGAAGGAAATGCCTCCATAAAATGGAAAAGCACAGCAGCAAGACGGCATCGTGAGCCTGGCCTCCCAACAGACTGTGGTGGGCTGGCTGGTGTGGCTTCTTTCAGTGAGAAAGTCAAGGGAGTTGGAATGCGGTGCTGTACAAGGAAAGCCTGCCTGCGAGACTGACTGGTCTTTCCCCTTGAATGGAGGTGAGCCAAGGACCCAGGCCACTCCAGGAAGGAAGCATCTGGGCCATGACTGACCTTGAGGGACGCTGTCTTCTACCTGAACACTCGCCAGCGGATTCAGAGGTCTACCTGCCAGCATTTCATGAGATGGAGTGCTATATGTCTGATAGAGAAGGTGAGGCTCTAGGGAATGTTCCAGACTAGTAGTCTAGCAGACTAAGAAAAAGGAGCTACATGGGCAGGATTTTGGTTATATGGGTCTTAAGCAGCACGAAATGAAGCGGGAAACTGTGTCATGCAGAAGCTGAATGCAGCCTTCTGCACTGGGCAGTCTGGAGGACACAGGCAATAATGACTTGGTTCTAGCAGTGGTAATTCTCAGCCCAAAACATTGAAAATTTAAGAAAAGCTATATTTTTATTTATTAA